ATATATATATATATATATATATATATATATATATATATATATATATATATATATATATATATATATATATATATATATATATATATATATATATATATATATATATATATATATATATATATATATATATATAGTTTCGACGAGTTTCATAGAAAGAAATTCCTAGTAACCAATACAACAATGGAAGGAATGCATGCACTGTTTGATGCCCACACGTTTCCGATTTATGCTACTGAATACAAATGTATGCTACTGAACACAAATTTATGCTACTGAACACATATTTATGCTACTGAACACAACACGTGACGACGCAAAGTACGACTGAACGACGCAAAGTACGTTACACAAATACAATTCAAGCTGACCCGAAATTACAAAATAATTTTATGATTATTAGTAGTACATTTCTCACCTTCACATACAATAGCGGCTAAAGACAGAAATCTCACATACTGCAGTAGCCAATTGCCATTTTGAAAAATATTGCATCATTTATTAAAAACAATCGATTAAAATGCTGTTTATTAGTCGTAGTCAGAAAATCTACTCGTCTATAGTCGCCTGTTACTCGTCTGTAGTCATCTGTTATTCGCCTGTAGTCGTCTGTTACTCGTCTGTAGTCGCCTGTTACTCGTCTGTAGTCGTCTGTTACTTGTCTACATGTACTAGTCTGTCACTATGGTGTAGTTAAAGAATAGATCTTCCCGAACGTTATACACTCTTCACAATAATTTAAAAGAATGCCCCGAGTATACAACAAATAACAATCTCCTATAATGGCCAATACGACATACCATTTGATTCAAACCCTTTGACGACAGAATAGCGCCAGAAGCAAAGGATTTCATAACTGTTGTACGGTCAACTGCAACATTATCCACAGTGATTATAAATTCAATATATGTTCTTCCAAGTGGATCATGAAATATTTTAGTGATCTAAAGTACAGAGAGAGGTATATAATTATACACAATCAAATTCTACATATTTTATAGATTTTTAATTTTTTTAAGGTTACATTCTCAGGGGCAGCGCTAACCCTCTTCGAGTGGGGGTGTGTGAGTGATCTTTTGCCGACTGTTTCGTAATTTTGCCGAGTCATTAACCTATTGTAAATGTGCATGTTTAAATGCGCTTCATTACCCTCTAGTAAGCCGGTTTTAAGCCCGCGCAAAGCGACCTTTTTCCTTTGTCGGCATCCATTTTGCCACGCCTTGCTGACGTAATAAGTGATACCGACAAAGGAAAACGGTCGCTTCGCACGAGGAAATGCGCTAGTGGAAAACCGACTTTATTGCCTCTTTTATAGAACAGTAATAAGCAACAACAAAAACAACAACAACAACAACAACAACAACAACAACAACAACAACAACAACAACAATGACCTAATAATTATGATTTCAATAATATTATGTTTTTGGACTGAAAGAAGTGAAGATACTGTATTCGAAAGAATTTGCATTGCTGCATGTATGGTTTCTTTGATGCATGCTATTCTAGCCTGCGAATAGCTATTCGTGATATTCGGTTTGAATTCAATTATTTAGGAAGTCAATTTTGGTTTCTTCAGTGGTTATCTTTAGCCAATCCAGTTTTGCCGACTGCGATAACAACTTGCCGATTTGCTGACGAGTGGGGGGAGGGGATGTTCCACCCCCCACACCCCCTGTATAGCGTCGCCCCTGTACATTATATGACGAAACTCTGATTTTGTGAATTTTTTTATATATTCATATTAAGTAATGATATATCTCTCAATTCCAGCAACTTTTTGAAGAAAATGTTAAAAAGCGACCGAGATATCGATATAGGGGGAAATGCGACCACTGAATAGCTTTGCGCGAACATTTTTTTCAATTTAGAAGCATCTCTTCAACCGATTATACCCGTGCAAGATAAGTCAAGTTGTCTGCTTTATATCAAAGCGAATACAATAGCTGTCAAAAAATGCGAACACACTTTTCTTCTTTGGACATTTGAGATGAGCAATATGATATTTTGGGATCGAGCTCCTGAGTTAAACGGTCTGTCGTTAAATCTCGTGGCGCAAGAGGTGCTATTTTTTACAAAAGACGTCTCATTGCGACTACAGGTTAAAAGGTGGTGAATTTTGGTTAAAACAGTAGCTTTTACAGTTATTTATTATTGCATGTACCAAATTTGAGGAACGTAACTAAAAAATTGAGCACGCAGTGACAATTTTTCTGAAACAGGAATCATCACTCCTTAGTATATTTTGTATTTTTGTGCGAATCGTATCACCTGGGTGATATAATCAAATTATCGCCATGTGATACTGATGATTGAAATCACCCGGTTACGTCAAATACGATGAAGTACTGGTGTGATTTGAAGATAGATTTCATGCTCACGTGACACAATTGCAAACTTCGATTGGACACTTTGAATTCGAGGTATATTTATATGTAGTATAGGTGAAGATATACATGAGGGTCCAGGCGCTGTCAGTCTTATCGCTTGAGGGACGATATCATAAATGTCACGAGTGAGCGCACCGGTTTATTATATGCTCGTGCTTTTATCAAAAAAGTTAATCCCCGAGCCCACGGTGCGGAGCGCCGTTCCGGGCATAAGCCTGGGCGAGGGTACTAAATAATTCTGCCAGGCTATTTAGACCCGGGAAAACGAAAGCATTAGCGAAGTCTGAAGTGGATGATCGCGAGTGTGGGTGACCGTGCGTGTTGGGCGGGTGGTCATCCTCACAGATCTCAAAAATATGGCGGACTGTCATGAATAGCGAACACTGATTGGTCAAACTTAAAATTTGAATTATAACGACTGCATGACGACAGCGAAATAGCAAACATTTTTTGATTTGATGATTTCTTGCAAATAGATTTCATTTTTGCAAGATTTGTAAATTTCAAAAGCTTTTTTTAAGAAAATAAACGCGAAAGAATTGCTAGAAGAAGGGAGTAAAGGCATCGACGTTAACGAAGGTAGGTTTTATTTTAAATATTGATGTATTGTTGGCTTTATAATTGCTTTAAAAGCTGATCGTTGCGGAATAATGTATATTTTAGTTGAAAAAAAGACAGCATATAATTTCAGTGTTCCTTTATTGATTACCCCGTTTTATTCTACCGTTGTATAAGCTTCAATTTAAGGTAAAATTCAACCTCAAACGCTTCGCAAGATGTTTTAAAATGTTCTTTATAAAACTAAATTGCCTTTATCGAAAAACTTTGAGTTTGAAATAAAATGATTTCAAATTCTCGCATTCAAACAAGTAGTACTCTTTTTTGTTTAAAAATTTTATATAATAACATACCTAACATACAGCTATTTCAATTAAGATTGTCCACGAGCAAAGCGGAAAAGTCGAATACGAGCGCGAAAGGCTGCTGGGAATCGCTTACAAATTAATGAATTTTCAAAGCCATTCCCAGCAGCCTTTCGCGCTCGTATTCGACTATACCGCTTTGCTCGTGGACAACTGAAATAGCTGTATGCAGCATATGTTTTTTTGGGAATTGATTATTTTGTAATTAACACTGATATTTTTAGGGGATTTTTCATTTGTAAGAATATTGTTAACAAAATTATCGTGATACCATGACAACTAGCATATTTTAAATACTTCATGTTCGGAAAATACAATGGTCTTATCAGCAAGAGTCTTAGCATTATATTAATCATTGCGCCAATCCAGAAGTTTTTAAAATACTGGGACAAAAAGCGATATCAGTGACAAAAAACGATATCGGTGACAAAAAACGATAATCGCCTTGATAAAGGCACAAGCATGTGATAAATTATATTTAGCACTACTAACAGTAGACTCGAAACAAAGGAATGATCTATTGGACTGTCTAGCCAGTACAAGGAGAACGCAAAACGTTATGATGTAGACGAATGACAATACGGAAGCACAAATCCCTACGGTTCGATTTACACGTAGTCTCAGACTAAACACTGCCTTGAGTGAATAATGCTAATGTAAGTTTGAATTAAGGTGGCTCCCTACAGTTCTCTAAAATTCTAGGTATTTTGAGTATCGTTCGCTTTGAACCGAATTTATATTAGATACACTTAAGACAAGGCAATATGATCATTTCCAGGAAAGTTCAGAAGCTGTGTGCTGTCCATTTATGAACAAATTAAAACAGTGTTTGTGTTGCCATGGCAACCATGACGTTTAATCTTTTGCACTTTTATTGTCTAATTTCACAATAAATTGACAATATCTATATTTTCCTTCGGTGAATTTTTCTGAAATTGAAGATTTATGGTCCATAAAGGAAAAACATATCAAAATTTAAAGGGAATTTACAAATAAGTTTTCGAGATATTCGTGAATGACGGTTACAGAAAAAGTTATTTGTAGAATTTCTTAAAATTTGGATATGTTGTACCACTTGTCTTGTATAACAAAAATGCAAAGATTAAAAAAATTTCACCGAAGAAAACACGAGAAAATCATCGCTAAAATCGGCGTGGCCAGCATGAAAAAAAATCGACTCGACATGAGCACGATCTGCGCATGCGTGTAAATTGTAGCGTGTGACTTACAATGATTTCAACTTTTTGGCTTACAATACATAAGAAAACAGATATTTCTGACTTGTTTGATATGAAAAGAAAATATTAATCTTGAAAATACTAATAAAAAAACACTATTATAGGCATTGTATTAAATCTAGTGTTAGTTTACATTTGTTTTTGTTGTTAAAATCGGTGTGAAAACTTTTCAAAACATCGAACTACAAGTTTAACTTTTCATATAAAACAACTCATAACTGTTTTATTTGATTTAGCAGATAAAACAATACCTGTGAATTGAATTAAATTGAATTGATTGACAGAACTTATATAAGTTTCGGCAACAGTTCACTACTGTTCAAGAGTTAATAGAAGGCAGTATCATTTCAGTTTGACAGCTCGCAAAACAACAAGTTGAAAATTTTGAGCAATATGAAAGACAATACTGGACGTAAATACGTAAAAACACATTAAAAGATAGGTTAAACTAGTTAATAACATACGTACTGTTCGAATTCAAAAAATAGGATTATAATGAAAAACTGGGGCTTTCTTTGTAGACAAAAACGCCAAAAAACTTCCCACGGCTTGTTTCAATATTTTTGCCGAACAGTAAACACGACGATTCCACGCGCAGGTCGCGAGGATGAAGTCTGATCTATATAAATCGTATTTAAACTGTACTAACTGTAGGGAGCCACCTTAAGAGAAAAGTTACATGCAGTCAATCATACCGATATTTCATTGTCCTCGCCTGGTCTTTTAATTTTGCTATACTGTAAAAAAAACTCAATGAATTGCACACTTCTTGCAGGGACAGAAATCTCATAGCTGAATGGGGCCCAAACCAAGGTAATTTAATGGGTCTTTTTGCATCGACTAAAATTTGTTAACAACTCATATTCTGCATTATGTACTTCTGGTGAAGTAAAATTATATTGATTTTCCTTAAGGAACATGCGATACTCACTGTTGCGTTTACTGTTTTGGTGACTGGCAGTTTTTCCGAATTCCTGTAAAATCTGGCCAACTCCACTTCAAATTCTTTCTTAATTGCTGCATTGGAAAGATTATTCTGGCTGGTGGTTTTGACAAGCATAGCAAGAACGGGACTTCCTGGAACAATCGTTTTTACTGGTCTAGGACGCGACAATACCTAGGGAAGAAGGTCTGTATCAAAATAACTGGAAGCTATAAATACTTATAAGATATATAGGGATATGTTATAACTTATTGGATTCTTCCAAGACCAATATTGGATTCTTCATAGACCCAATATTGAAGTCGAGACTTAATACTTTAAGTGTTTTATTATAGGGAAATTAACAATTTTATAACAAAAACTGTAAGCCTAGTTTAAAACAATAAGCAGTATCTTGACATTCTTGTCATATGCACCTAAACAGTTAAACTATTATCAAGATACTGATTATATACATTCAGGGATGGATCCAGCATGATCTGGTGGTGGTGGTGTGTGGGGGGGTGTTCTGCCAGCTCTGGTGCCGAGTTGTGTCGGTCATGTGCGCCGCCCACCCATCAACTTGCTTCACTACTGCAAAGTCTTGCTTGACTACAGTATTTGAATTATAATTGTTGTTCACAGTTCGCTTATCATCGTGTTATTACTCAAATTACTGTATCTCATTTTGTCTCTAATATTTTTTGCTTTATCATTAAAAATAGCACCCCCCTGCACCCCCTCTGGCCAGGGCTCACCCCCCCCCCCAGTAAATCCATCCCTGTATACATTTATATGCAGCTACCAGTCAGAATAAATTGTTGTGATTTCAGACTAAAGACTAATTTCCACGGAAAATAAGTATCGGATCGGACTGGATCGGAACAAAACAAAATCCGCGCATGCGCCATCAGTAGAAATTTTGTGTTCCGATTGATCCGGCGACGTTGCTGGCCAGCTTGTCCGGTCCCGCGGATTACACCTGGTGACCAAGCAAAATGCCGTATTATCTCACATAAATGAAAATAATTAAATACCTGTACAAAATTTACAAAATGGAGGATGTAAGACTGGAACGAGCTCCAATTTTTCCTTTTCCGATCCGATCATTCCATTTGTCCTTTTAAGGCTAATTTCCACTCAGGAAAATTATCCGTGGATTGAAACAAGAAAATTTTTCTTTGTGTTAAAGTCATTACAGTAGTTCCAATCCAGACCTCACAAGACAAAGAAAAATTTTCTTGTCCGTTCCAATCCACGGATAATTTTTCTGAGTGGAAATTAGCCTTTACTGGAAATCGCTTGTTGGATCGTACCGGATCACAGCGGACCAGATTGGAAAGAGCTCTGATCCGGTACGATCCGCTGCTTATTTTCCGGAGTGGAAATTAGTCTTAATTGATATCACCAGCTCCTAAATTATTTTCTAAAAAACAATTCACTTACTTCATAGCCAATTATAGAACTCATTTTTTGAACTGTAAAAACGTCCATGATTTTAGCGGCATCTTCGGCTAATAAAGTTCTATTACTTGCAATGACGATATATTTAACGTCAACTTCTTGCCCATTTCTCTGTATATTTTGAACCTAAAGCAAAAAAATTGTGTCTTCAAGGAATACCCACATAGACAAAACAATCAAAAGCTCCGGAAAATAAATCGCGGTAACAGATTTCTCAAATGAGAAAGAACTGTCGAAACTGTAATGGATGTAAAAAGAAACAAATTCCGAAGAATAATGATACCTTGAAATCAAGATTTGAATTAAAACAAAACGAACTTTTGAAAGTGTGTACTTTCGACATTATTTTAAAGTCATTATGACTTTAGACATTATTTCAAATTGTAAATTTGTCTATATTATTAGAAATGTAGCAGTAACAAGTAAGGTTCGATTCCTGCCAGAGGGCTTATATAATTGCAATTTTCGAAACTGCTCCTTGTTGGGTATAATTAATGTATAAAATTCACACTCGAAATTTCCCATCATTATATCGAGTGTAGATGCCCCAAATCCTGGTATTTATATCCAATGATAAGTAATCCTACCTCAACACGTGAATCAGGAAGAGTGCTTCGTTTGCGTCTTTTTCGTTGAACCAGTAGTCCTTTCTGATAAATTTGGTATAGTTTTTCTTCCAAGATTGCTTTAAACGCGATAGTGCTTACATTAGTACTTTCAGGTACTTTTAAAGCAATAACTAATATTGAATTTTCATCTACGGTCGAAGTTGGCGTATGTGTGGTAGCTACCGATGACGACTGTACGATGGAGGACACAGTTGGTGAGATTTGATATAGACTGGATGTTAAGGACATATTTGGTGAGATATTTATAACAGTATATGTTTTAGAAGTATATGTTTTAGAAGTATATGTCGCTGTCGCCTTTGGCAATGTTGGCGATGGTAATACAGGAATGTCTGTTTGTGATGTGATAGGTAATGGTTTGGAATAGGCCATTGTAGATGATTGAAATATGGTAGTATTCCCAGCACTTTTACTCAAATATTGTCCAAGGCTTGTAGTATTCATGCCTGAATAAGATGTTTTGAATGGAGACGTGCTCAATATCACCCCAGAATAATTGACTGAAATACTGCTCTTGTTAACAACCAAACTACTAACCAGCGACGGCTTTAAGACACCCGATGTTCGAACATTGGAACGAAGTACGACAGAACTTGTGAAAATTCTGGTTGAATTAATCTCGCCAGATGAGGGCATAGACAGCGGCGTTTGTAAACTTGAAGTCGTGTTAACTGGGGTGGTGTTTAGGGTTACTGGAGTTTTAACCGAAATATTTACAAATATGGTAGAGTAACTGACTAAACATAGGCCCAATGACGATGTTGGTATTAAATAGTATCCACCAGATTGTTTTTCACTTGTTATTACAATGACTTTGCTTCGAGATTCTGTTCTTAAAATACGTGATAATATGGAGCTAGATTCTCCTGGTAATGTAACAGACGAGTTTGCCACAAAGTGGTCTTTTCCGTCTGTCGTTGTGAGGGAGCTACTTTGTGACAAAATAGCTGCAGAGGAAATGTAGCTTTCCTTGGATAAAGTTGGTGTGGCTGTTATCCCTTTGCTTCCAATAATGGAAAATGATGGAGAGGGGCTTTGTGTCACAGAAATATATGAGGTTGAGACGGTGGAGGAAGCATCTGAAATGTTTCCATGGATTAAAGATGTAACATTATGCGAATGTGCAGATACACTTGCAGGTGAGATGGAAGAGGTGACATTTTCGCTCGACTGCGGAATTAGTCCGTTTGTGATAGCGCGTGACAAGGTGGATTTTACCAATGAAGTTGTTCTGATGTTATCCGATGAAGAGTTATGAAATGAAGATGTTGGGGAACTTGAAACGCTTATGAAGGAGTGATGGCTAAACTTGAAAGTTCCAGCAGAAGATAACATCATCCTGGGGCTTGAGTTAACGACGCTGTACATGTTTTCGGACTGATATAAAGACAATTTCTCTGCGGTCACAGACGTGTGCAGCGTTGTCACGGGAGATGGCATGAGGGCCAACGATTCATTGCCAACACTTGTTTCTAGAACAAGGCGCAGTGAGGTAGAAGAGTGCGAAATTCGCATTTGTGATGTGTTTCGGGAGTTTTCATCATCAATTGACGTTGGAGGAAATACCGAGTTAGTTGATTTTACAGCAGTGACATTTGACTCAGTTCGAATAGTGTTGTTGGTTGTTGTCACGTTCATTCGAGCATAAGTCAATGAGTATAATAAGGATTTTACAAGTAATTGTGTACGGGACATCATCGTGGACTCGAGTATCCCTGTATTCACCAACGATTTTGAGACCTGAATATTAGTCTCGTGCCGCAGTTGTGAACTGAACGACGTACGGTTTGAACTGGAAGTGTACTGCGTAGTAGAGATATATGAACTGTCTTGAATCGTGGGTGGATAAGTACCACTACCAATATTTAAAGACGCAGTCATGCTTGTGTTCAACGTAGATTCAGATGCATTTACTTTTTTCTCGTACTTTCCCTGTGTCATTGACAAAGTAATGTTAGGACTGGAGATAGACTTTGCAGTTGATATTAACGAACTGTAGTTGATGATAGATGAATTACTAATCATACCGACGTCTAAAGATGTACTCATGACTGCCTGTTTTGCTGACATTTTAAGGTTGCTAGAAACACTCTTTTTATATATGGTAATACTTGGAGTAAGGGCGACAGATTGGTGTATTGATGTCGACTGAGTTATCATTATGCGTTGCTTTTGAGTGATGGTTGGTGTTAATAATATTAAACTGCTACGATTGGACAAGCGACTGTTTCTATCTGAATTTGTACCATTTGTGATCGACGTGTTGTACTGTTCCGTATTCATTCCTTGCGAGGAGGCAAGTTGAGAAGCAGAAGCAGTCATCAACCTGCGATCTTCATTTACTGAGTTGGTTGTTGAACTAACAATCGAAGAATTGTTTGGTGACAGAAAAGTTTCAACTAAGCTTGAATTACGAACGGTACTTGTTATGGCGGAACTCGTACGTTTCGGGGACACCATAGATGCCGCAGAATGGTCAATTTCAACACTGGGACTCAAAATAGGTACACTGAGTGAATTATAACCGTTTGTAAGTGACCTAGATTCGTTGGCTAATCTGGAAAATGATAAATTCCAACTAGATGTCATGAACCGTTTTTCAAGACTGGATGTTGTAACGAGTACTGGACTAGGAGTTGCTTTTGATGCATTGATTACTGGCGTTGGTGTAAACCGTGTTTTAACAGTTTGGTGAAGACTTCCTGTCTGCGTTGGCAAAAATCTTTCTGTACTCCGCAGTTCAACGCTCTCCTCCTTCATCTTCCATGACGAAGTATTTAGTAATAGAATGGATATATTAACTGTAGATGTTGTAGTAGCGTTTTTAATCACATTTTTCGTAGAGTTCGTCCCGATGTTATCTTGCATCACGGTTAAGTTTCTCAGTTCTCTTCTTTTGCGACGCAATGGATTTGTTTCTGGCTTACCGCTCGATGATATGCTCGGTGTTACATGAAAACTCGAATATGATATTGTTTTATCGGGGAAAGAATTCGAGGTATGATCATTTTTGTATGACGTCCACTGTGAATTTAGATTACTTCCTGTAGCTAGAACCACAGTAGGCCATATAGACGAGGCACGGATGACTTCAATCGAGATGAACTGGATATTTTCCTTGGAAATTGTTGCCGATACTATTGGTAACACATTTTGCCCATGAGTGGCATTTCTGGTATGTCGTGACACTACAGGAATACTTGGCGTAACCAGCATAGTTTTATTGCCACCTGAATTGGAATTGAGACCAACAGTTGTCCGATTTGACAAACTTGGTACGTCTAACGAAGAGGTTGACTCAACTGTTGGCTTGTAAGAAAATATCGACATATTAGACTCAGTCGATGACGACAATAGTATCAGCGTTGAGTTAACGAAGCCTGATACATTGCGCAAAGTGGATTTCGCAGAAGTGTTTTGGTTTAACAATGACTCTTTGGATGTTAGCATGGGTATTGATGAACTCAGCACTACACTTAAATTATTTAAACTTGGTGTGCGCGAAAGTACAGGCGTTGGTTGCGGTAGGTTTCGGTTTTCAGTCCTAGTGCTCTGGGCAGTTGTTCTACGATTGGTCACAGTAGCCAAAGTACTCAATGTCGTTCCATAAATTCGAACATTTGTAAGATTGAATGAAAAACGCGAGTATGAAAGTGGAACGGAAGTATCATGTCTATTAAAGTAAGCTGTGACAGTCGGGTTACTTCTATTACTAAACATGTGGTTTAGAGAGGGGGTTGCATGGGCGTCCTGTGACGTTGTAACATTTCGACTAAGGTTGCTGAATGACGAATTATAGAAGCTGATAGAGGATTGTACATCTGAAATGTTGACGATCGGAGAGACGGTCTGGTGTACTTGTTTCGCAGATACAGTCGACAAAGCTATTCCTAGCTGCACGGAGCTAGATTGCGTTGGATGTAATGTAATGTGTTTTGTAAATAAGGGGCTTGTTGTTGTAGCGACTAAAGATGTTTCTTGTCTTAGTACGCTTCTTGAACTTATGTTGGAACTCTGATGACTAGATTTGTTCACACTGTTACTTCCAGATCTAACCGAGTGTCCAAGGGTTGTTGCATTTTCTATCATGCTTGTATAAGCCAGTTCTGATTTAGCAGGCGCGTTACTAGACATCCTCACATTTAAAATAGGAGAAGTTAAATTCATGACGGTTGTTGTTGTTGTTGTTGTAATGGACACATTGAAATTAACATATTTGTCCACGATGGATGTGCTCTTATTAGGCAGAGGAAAAGTGTTGAGGGATTTTGATATTTTGACGGGAAAATTCTGCACCGAGGTAGATCGTGAATGATCGATCAAGAGCGTTGTATGATTTCGGATACCTGCAGTCAAGTTACGATTTACAGTCAATTCATGTAAAACAGATGATGACACTGCAACGTTTGATATTGAATTGTCACTCTTAGTAAAATTATGCGCTTGCGTATAATTGGGCTTATTCATTGTCGCAGAGCGAGTGTTGCTTTTAGTCATTGCAGCGTCATGCTTTGTTTGCATGCTAGATTCTACGTGACCTGGCAAGCGCGACAATGATTCTGTGGGAGACTTTGAAAACATTTCTGTAGAACTGTGCTGCGCGAAAAATCTAGTCGAAGGAGTTGGCTGCAACGGTGTGCTACCTGCATGTGATTGGTCATTTGAATGAGAAGGAAATGACGGTTGTTGGACGGATGAAGTTGCACCTGTTTCAATGTCAACAGTTGAAGCAACAAACGAATGTGTCACAATACGTGATACTGTAACCATGTATGAAATATAGCATGGCGTATAAATAGGAACCACGGACACACGGATCATATTTGACGAGTTTGTTAGAACAGGCAACGAGCTGGATGGTTGCACTATAGGAAATGATCTATTAGTAACTTCTGCAGTTGAATAAACAAACAAATCACTTGAAGACTGAATGGTGGAACTTCCGTAATAGACTTGATTAGTTGAATTGATCACGGCGTTAATATTCGAGTGACCTTCGGTAGGTAAGTCAAAGCGACTTGATGCTGGGCTTTGGCTTGAGTTGATCTGCACTGAAGATTTACGTCCAAACGGAATATCTGCCTTGGATGTAGCTATACTTGAGCTAACACTGGTAGATAGTACTTTAGGTAAAAACGGAACAGACCAAGACGCATGTGTGGTCGAATACTTCAGTGGAGATGATACTGTTGTCCAAACGACTGATGGTGGAAGATTAAACACAACTATACTGCTGGATATATTATGTGACCCTGTCAATAATTCTTTGCTCTTTTTTTCTGTTTTCTGTCTTTCACTCGCAAGACTTGTGAATGGTTTAATGTTGAGGGTAGAATTGTGTGACGGGGATATTCCGTTCAAAAACTGACTAGAGCTGTTAACCTTCCAGTTGGTAGTTGTCTTCTCAATAGAGTCCACGCTGCTCATATTCGCTGCCATGGAACGGATTGATTTTGAGAACATCAATGTAGCTGTGTGATTTCCTTTCGACAATGAAGTTGAAGTTGTGTTTCTGATAATTTGCTCAGTAAACAATGTTAAAGTTGGTAATAGCGAAGTGGAATAAACATCAGCTGTGTGACCAATAGCGGAGGTTTTATTTAAATAACGTGATACTGAAGTAGCACCACTACCGATCGCAATTGTACTGTTTCCAAACATGTCATTACGTGACGACGCAGCTAAATGTTGCTCTTTCGCCGAACTGACATTCCATACATCAGTATTAAGAGATGGCACAGGCATAGATGAAGATGACAAGTATACCTTGGTTTTAAGTTCTTGTCGTGTTCTGCTACTTATATTCAAAAGAATACCCGATTGTGCCGGTATAATATAACTTGAATGTGATGTGTTAATGCCACAGTGTTCATCATGGCTACTATTGAGCTCCCTTGTTGATGACGCAGGAATTACGCTGACGGTAGCGCTTATGTTTCCAAATTTGGATACACCTGATCGAACTCGACTCGTTTTATTGTTATTCAATTGTGAAGGCAATAATGTACTACTTAGTCCTGTGCTAGTGCTTGTACTGCTTATTATTTCTTCTGCTTTCCATTGTATACTTGAACTATTTGGAATTGTTCCTGAACTGCTGTTTACGTTTTTAGATAATGATACAACAGTAAAATTTATACTCCTGACACCCTGGGTTGTATTTAGAAGGAGCAACACAGTTGAGCTGGCTGGACTATTTTCTGACTTATTCACCATGTCTATCCTTGACGATGACGATGACTTAGATGTGCTCGGGTGCGGACTAGCAGTAATATATGACATTACTGCAGTTCTATTACGGCTTCTGTTTAATCCTATACTGCCTTCATATCCAGACAAATTGGCAGATATATTCGTCCACTGAATGTTACCACGAGGTGACACAGTTGTATAATAAATGCTTGTTTTATTTGCTGGAGGAGACACTACAGATGGAACAGATGGTGAAACTTCTGTAGTTCGTCTTACATATTCCGATGTTTTGGATATACTGAAATTACTACTCGCATCCTTCGCAATTAAAGTACCATTAAATAATAAGAAAATTGCAGTTGAATTTGATGACAGAGTCTTCATTGAAGTCTCATTACTCTGATGTTCATGTTTGCTTGAAAGTAGTTCAGGTACTGCAGTCTGCGATGATTTCACTGAAGTATAATTTGCATTAACTGCGCTTGAAATGGGAGCTGTAACAATTCCACTGGAACGTAGCTCAGCCACTGGAGTTGTAGAAACATTTTGAAACGTGCGAGAATGCTCCGTGCTTATACTTCCATTCATAGAAATGCTCCTTTCGGTATTACGTACTTTCGAAGTCTTGCTGATAGATCCTGGTGTAGCCGATTGATAATTATCAGCACTTTCAACATATGCAAATACTGTGGAATTCCCACCAGGAGAAAAAGTTGATGACAACATGGATGTTGCTTGCAAGTTCGATGAATCGTGTAACTGTCGGACAGATGATGAACTTACATTTCTCGCGTAACCTAAAAACACAAATGTAGTTGTGTTAATATCTGGAATGAAAGAAAACGTTATACCGTAAACTTCCGACTTTTAGCTCTAGCTGGGCTTACAGTATATTCTTTCGTAATGGATTTTTGATGGGCTCATACATGAAGCGTCAGTTGCGGCATTTGTACAGTATTTTAGTCCCGTTGTCGCTAAAGTTTGAGAACACCCTGATATTTCGAGCTATGGCTATTCCTAGACAAGTACAGTTGTACCAAGATATAGAGACAAATCTTTTATAGACAAATCTTTTATACAGTAGGTAAAGCAGTCGCGTAAAGAAAAAATCACCTATCACAATAAGGCAATTCCCTAACAATATGGTAAGGGTCAACTAAGGTTTTTGGAAATTATTGAGTGGGCGAAGTGGTGGCGGAAAAGTGTTTACTTAGAGGGGGCTAATTTCCATAACTTGTCAAACATATAAAAAATTCCCTTCAAATTATTATTATTATTTAATCTTCTTTAAAAAAAACAACGGTAGCCCTTCAGCATAGATAAGAGCTGTTTTCCAAGGGGCCGTTGCACAATACATATTTAAAAAAAAGTTTGGGTTAATAATTACAATTAGTATATAGTTACAAATTACACATTACACATTACATATTACACAGTACACCACATAGTATGATAAGACTTAAGTATTATGCTGAGGTCTGTCCCGAAGCAAGGTTTTAAATGCGTTTAATGACAAGCAATTGCTTTTCAGTTCTACTGGTAATTCATTCCAGCTTTTTACACCTGAATAGCTGATGCTTTTTTAAAAATGTTTGTTTTGGGCTTTTCTAATTTATAATCGATATTATTATTTCGTAAATTATAATTGTCATTATTTTTAACGACAAACAAGCTAGATATATTTTCTAAGTATTCACCATTCATAACTTTATGCATAAATATGCCTTATTATTACCCCATCTTTCCATCAATGGCTGCCAGCTTAATTCTTCTAATATAAATAAATGTTTGCGACGGGTCA